CATGGTCTTTCAGTATGACTATATTCACCGCAGCAGGCCAGGATACCATTCTCACAAGCAGCATTTTTGCTTTTGCAGCAAATTTCACATGAACCAGAAAAAAAACCCCAACCCCCAAACCAATCAGGGTTTCTATATAACTCATCTGAAAGGATTGTTGGAGGTCTGCTACTTCTACTTACCTTCGTGCTAGGCATCTATTCAAAAACACGGTTCCAGGAACACAGGAACTAACGAAGACTGCTTTCCTATGGATTTATGCCTGTGATTAATTTCCTCTGTGTCTAAGGTACAAGCTCTAATTGAAGCTGGTCTCATGCCTGGAAACTTATAAATGTCTCTTCCTTATCTGGATTACTGGATATCGGTACAGAACGCAGTTTTCTTCTGATCTCTCTTTCACCTCCACACTTAGAAAAAAAATAAATTCTGAAAACGTAGTGACGGTGAGATGTGCCAGATTTGGCTGAAATTAATTAGCTATTCTGAAACCGAATGACGGAACGATCATGTATGCCATACTTCCATAGGAAAGGGAGAAAGGGTAGTGCCTGCTGCACTAAAGCCTGGTTAGTTTTACCATCTCTTTTTGGTGGTAAAGCCTCTGGGAACTACTAACTAATCCTACACTTACTCAAGTTTATACAAAAAAAAAGTGCCATGACTCAAGATGGTAATTTAAAAAAAACCCAAACAATACATTATTGAATATTTGTCAGAGTACTAAATAAGCCATTATTCTATTTTGTCAAAAGAATCACAATTTACAAGAAAAACCACTTTCTCCCTATACCTTTCAAACAAAGCAGAGACACAAAAGCAAGCCACATTCCTGGGCTTCAATTAAAACAAATAACCATTCAACAATTTTATCTTAAACTTCAGTCAGGTCACTGGACAAAAAAAAAAAAAAAAAAAATCCCAACACCACAACTTTCCATATCTAGCATTTCTCTCAGTAATGATCTCAAACACAGAAAAGTGAATTTTTTATAAGTACTGTTTTTCTCCTCCGAGTATTAAACTCTTCTGGTGTGTTTGTTTTTTTTAGCAACATACCTGCTCTTCACTTTAGCAGTCCTGTTTTGGAAGCTTCCACAACCTGAGGTTGATGTTACATTACATTTTCTTGATCTCCAAAACTTTTCTGGAATTGGCATGTGAAAAATATGATATACTGTTGCTTTGTTGTAGCATTTTACTATTGCAGTACGTACTTGCCACTTCCCACATGCTCCTAGGGGACTTCCAAATACAGCAGACATGTGGATACAATTTCTTTTTAATTCCATTTTTGGAAGAAGTCATGTAATCACCTGTATCTTCAATTATTCTTCCCTAAAAAGATGACAGTTGAAATTACTGAATGTTTTCCTTGCAATGGAAAGTTGCCTCTAGCTTTATATTTTCCTGTTGACAGGTTGGTCGTGCATCAACATTTACCACAATAATTCTTCAGGTCGTAAAACACTCATTTTGGAGAAATCTTGGTTAAAAAAAGGAGTAATTGTTTTTCAAAAAAAGCTACCACACAAACTTACGAAAATCATGTCAGATAATGAAATTTTAGTATTTTTCATTGTCTCTTAAAAAAAAAAAAGTCAAGTCTCTACAGACATCTGAAATAAATCTCCTGACAACTTGAATTATTCAGCGGGATTTCATCTCTTTCTAGAACTTCCTTGAAAAAATAGGAAAAATTTATCTTAACTGTCAACTTTGCAAGAGATACCAAAAGGAGTTTAGACAATCCTTGTGAAAGCTTATAGTTGAAGAAGCCAAATTGACAAAAATACATATTTTCCTAAGATGTATTATTTCATTTCTTTGGAACTTGGTGTTTTTGTACTTTTAGTATTAGTCACCTAGTGTGAAATCACACTCATTTAAGAGTTGATGAGCAATCAAAATTTGTCATGATCAGTCATGGTTTTTTTGCATAAGGGACTATACATCCTAGGCCTGAGACATAAACATACTTTCATTTTGAACAGAAGTCACTTTTGAAAGCATTTTTATTTGTCTTATCCTAGGTGTCAGCAAATAAATGGGTATTTTTTTCATCCTAGCTTTTGACAGAGTTTTCGTTATATGGGAATATGCAATAAGTTGCAGAATGGTAAAGCAGTCATGCACTCAATATTCTGAGGCACGAGACATTCATAATGGTCTGATAATTACAATATAAACTATAGTATCAGTGAACTTACAATAATGCTTTTTAAAATGCCTACTGAAGCAGTCCAGACATACCCGAGACTTCAAAAACAGTCTAAGGACAGCTTTGAAAATGTAATTCCTGGTGAGCGTGAAGACTGGCATGTGAATCCCTAACCTGCTGAAGGCTGAAACCCCTCACTGCGGCACCTCTGAGGCAGTCTGGAAAGGTGCTTTTCAGCCAAAGAAACGATTCCCTCTTCGTTTACCAGATTCGTCCTTTAGGCAAATACGGCTATATTCATAGAGACAGGCAACATCTTTTGCTAGATAAACTCACAGACCTGCAGAAGAGAGAGGGGGATTGAAAAAATAAAAACCACCAAACGCCACATGAACAGGGAAGCTTTCAGGCACACAAGCCGTTGTTAATGCACCCTGGATCCTCACGCTTCTTGCCTTTGCTGAATGCCCGAGCTCCAGAAGCTCCATGTGTTCTAGATTTTCTGGCAAGGGAGAAGAAGTAAAACCACAGGCACAGAGGCAGAAGGGGACAGATACTCAAGGTTACCTGAGAAGGAAGCAGATTTCATGTTAGCCATTTGCTTGAAAGTACTTCTTTTTGTGCAAGTCTAAAGCTGGGTTATGTCATTCAGACCCACAGCCTTGTTTCAGACACGGCGTTGACTGCCATGCAAGTTTCATGACTCTTCCCTAGGAACACATAAAAGAAAAAGGGTTGCTAGAAGTGGTAGCAAAATCTTACAGAAGCCTTTCCTAATTTAACAGTGGTTAAATTATTTCCCATTTATATGTAGAAATTAAGAAAATCACCATCAGCAAGTATCATCTCTTGCCATTTGTAGTAACAGTTCACAAAGTAAGTAATTTAAAATTCACCGTCTGACAGGCACCCTATCATTTCTGATGTCTCTTAGTATCTCAGAGGACTACATAGAGGGGAAATACACTGTATTAACCTTTAAGCAACGCATATTTAACTAAGACCTCTTTGGACTAGCAAAGAGATGACAATGCAAGTTAGAAAATAAAGCTTTTTTTTAAAAAAAAAAACAGGAGAAGTGGAGCTACCCAGAAAGAGGAGCTGAATTAGACTGAGATGCACCAATAGAGCAGCAGAGAGACAAGCTGATTTTACACTGGCTGGTCCTTGCAAAGTCAGACCAGTTCTCGGCACACATCAGTTCTGTACAGTGACTGTGCAAGTTTCAGCAATACAAATTCTTCTACCCGCTGAAGACTTGAGCCAAGATATCAGGCATGTAAAAGCACGTAAGATTTGGCATAAGTTTTAAGAACGCAATGGAACAGGATATATATTTTTGTTTAAATGCTTAACTACATAAACGCATACTTACCTAATACCTTTCCTGTTAAGCCAAATAGTCTCTACAAATTCCTCTACCTAGGCATAGCTTCCTCAATAAAGGAATGCACCCAGCTAGATGCTTTGTACAGCGAGATATAGATACATGTATACACACACATGCACTTGATGTACACAGATTCAGAGTTATGAACAAATTATACTAATTCCCACCTGTAACATGGAGACTGATGCACACTAAGGAGGCAGGGAAGAGCACCTTTTTAAATATCTTAACATGCAATTGCTCATTTAATGAAAATGGAGGGCGAGGGGGGCAGAGGGGAACACCCACAGTTGAACCACACAGTTCATAGCAGTTTTGGGGAACTTTCCCAGGGGGACAGAAGATACTTAGTTTTTCAACTCGATGCTAACGTTCCCTTTATAAAACTTTGAAAGTGCCTGGCTTTCTACTTTACCCTAAGGCATCTGCTGTCCAGTTCAGTGGATCTATTCATACACAGAAAAGCATCAAGAAAAATTTCTTGCGGATTTAAAATTTTGAAGGAAGAATCTCTGATGTGGCAGCAAACACTGCCAAATAAAAGACTGTTACAGCACCGTGAGCTATGACAGTTCACATCAATATTTGTATCCCCCTGAAGCAGGATATATTACTGCAACGCCTTTCAGTTATGAGTGACGTCTCTATTGATTAAGAGATGTAGTATTGGCTTGTTTCTTTGGTCCAGCTGTATTATATGGAATGAACTGGAAAGTATCTATATGGTATTTCATAATTTAATACAAACTTATGAATCAAGCTTTAACTGAGGAATCAATGTTTAACTACCGTAGTAACTATGGATTATCTCATGTCCAAGTTTCATACAAAAACCATTTTCAAACTCACTGAAGACTCACACCAAGTGCATGGTTTCATGTGACCGAGTTAATACGCATTCAACTCTCAAGTTTGAAAACTTTAGCAAAGTGACGTCACTTTTCCCCAAACCAGATGCTTCTAAAGCACCTGTTGAAATTATAAGCTCAGTGGTCTCCTTTTGTGGAGGTGACACTGTAATGTCCTCAACATTCCCTGCCCCCCCCCCCCTTTTTTAGGGGTTTGAGACTCTGAAAAGGATAGAGCATAGCAGGTAAGGTCGCTTGTGAGAAGGCAGAGTCTGTCAGACGCAGAAGTGTACCCTCTTCATGTTCAGCAACTTGCCTGGTTCAGGTCTACAGAAAACAACTGAGTTACTGGTAGAGGTCTTCCCCAAACACAACCAATGCTAACACATTCCAGAAACCAATCCCCTTCCTCTGCCTCCCTGCTGGTTCAGACCTCTTCCCCAGTACCTGCTTGTGAAGGTAAACATTTGTCATTTTATAACAAAATCAGACACTGTACTTGATCTATCCCTTTCTCCTGAAAAAGTCTCATAGGAATAAGCTTAATTATACATACTCTAAAATGAATATGAGTACTTGAAGAAAAGAACACCATCCCATGTTGTATTATCTTTTGTTATTAAAAAAAGCCAAGAGGAAACCCTTGGTAAGAGTGGAGCATATTAATTATGACAAGAGATCATGACATACCAGTTGAGATTTAAAGGCCACTAATAACACTTTTTGTAGTAATTAGTGCAAGATAGTTATCCCATATAAACAAATATTTGATGGTAGACTTCAGTGATAAACAATTCACTTGATGACATTTACATATAAATACACATAAATAAAAACCTACATAATTTAGGCTTGTAGTTAACAAAAAATATGGTCTGAAATGCATTAAATGTAATTGTATCTAGCTGGATCAAAGCTCTTCCTCTAATGATACTCAAGCGTACGGGGTATGAAAAGCGTAATTGTACAATTCTCAATTTAGTAAAGTACTACTCTATAAAACACAATCATGAAACCAGCTCTTACATTTTAATGTAAAGTATAAAATCGTATATTTACATTTACATACACTTTACTGAACTACATTGGGTAGCTCACAGTAAAAAAAAACATCCCTTTTTGAAAATCTTTCAAAAAATACATCAACTGCAGATATGATCAAAAGTTACTAAGTTAGCAGCTGACATAACATCTGTAGTAAAAATATATTTTAGGAAAATACCTGGAAAAATCTAAACACCAATAAACACTTTAAAACTATTTTTGAAGTAAAAATTGTAGCAAAAAACAGAATAAGCTAGCTAGGATAACAGGAACTATTGCATACTGCTCTTTAAGAGCCATGTAGCGACTTGGAACAGAAGCAGCAGATATAGTAGGAGTTATGTGGTGTAACAAAGTGGAAACCGGAGGAAAATAGGAAGCCAGTTATCCAACTTCTCTTTATGTTTATTACCATTTTTACTGGGAGAAGTATAAGAAAAAGATGAGAGCCTCCCTCTCACTGAGCATGTCCTCCATCAAAGGCTAAAACAAATTGGTAAAAGAAACCCAATTTCAAGAGCCTTGGACCCCAAACTTAAAAACATTTACCGTATGTACTTACAGTTCAATGGACAATAAATCAGATTATTACACTACAAGTTGCAGGTTAACTTTAAGAGTTAACACTATTTTGCAATATGAAGTGCTTTTTAATATATATATCTATATAATATATAGATATTTGTAAAATACACGTGCAGATTTGATAGAACAAACTGTGGAAATAGCTTTCTCGAGTCTCTTTTTCCCATTAACAGATCTCTGTCTCCTACACAAGGAGTTTCAGGATTCAACAAGGATTTCCACAATATGATCAAGCTCATTAAGATCAGATTTACAATTAGAGTTAGAAGTTGTAGTTGTTGGAGAAGAAAACGTTTCAAGCCCATCACAGTGTCCCATTTTTGTGTTGCTCATCATGCCTGTTAACATAGTATCAAGATCATAGTAAGAATTGTCAACTTCTGAAAAAAGATCTTCAACAGAATTAGGACTTTTGTTCTCCAGTGTCTCAAATATTTGATCTAATGATTTTTGAAAGTTTCCTTTATTTTCTTGTGGAGTCTCCATTTCCCACACATTGCTCTGCAGGTTTCTCGAAGCTTGCACTGAAGAGGCTGTTGACATAGTTTCTGAACTATCTTGTGCCTGGGCACCCTCAAAGTCTTTACTGAAAGTACTATAGCCTGGAACATGCTTTCCCTCAGCTTGTTCCCTAGATGAACGACAGAGGATATCTGTTGAAACAAGACGATCCAGGGACGCCTGCCCTGTACTCTGGGTATTTATCATCTGCCAAGTCCCATCTTGAGTCATTTCCTCTTGGATCTGCCGTACCGTGTTGGCTATAAGTACCGAACGACAAAGGTTAGGTTCAACCAGCATGTGACACAGCTGAAGTTTAACCAAGGACATATCTAAAAGTGACTGCCGCTGAAGATTATATGAAGGAATAGCCTTAATACCAGCCAGAGTTCCTTCAATATCTTCTTCGCCATCAAAACATTTTCTCTTTAATCCTCGCACAAACATTGTGTCCTGTTAAAAAAAAAAAAAAATTTCTTGTACAACAAACAGCTGAAGAGGGAAGGGAAAAAAAAAAGACTAAAAAACAAAATGGAAAACTTAAATCTTAATTTTAAACAGGAGATTCTTTTAAGATAGAAACATCAGAATTGTCATACCAGGTTACAGAATGGCCAGGGTGGTACAACAGGGGTCAGGAGCATATGGGCTGGGTCCCGAAGACGGCACTCGGGAACCAGGGGTGAGCAGGTCCACAAGTCATGGCATCGGAGAGAGGCAGGGGCGCCCAGCTCCTGACTCCCATTAAGCTCCACACTTGATGGAAGTCAGGAGCCGCTGCTTCACACAGAAGCAAACATCTCAACGGCTGTATTTCACCTATTGGAGAGGCAGTTTCTCCTCGCTCCTCCCGAGTTTCTACTGGCATGCTTAACCTCTAATTGTGGAAATAAAAATACAACCTGGCACACCATCTTTAAAAGATTTGATCCCTCCAGAACATCAACATGACTAACAGAGTGACATGAAAAAAATACCATGGGCAGCATACTTGAAAAAGGTTAGCTTATTTTGGCTACACAGAGAGCAAGATCTAGATCTGTTCCATACAACTTGAGACATTCAACTGAGGTGCCTAAAGCAGTCCTTCTGGTTCCCTAACTCAGATGAGTAACTGAACTGTGCAATTCCAATATGAATTGTGCAAGTCCAGTAAGGATAGGCAAAGTCATCCCCTGTATGGGCTTCTGTACTTCTTTCCCAGTTGACTATAAGAAAGCAAAATTCCCGTATTCCTAGTTTAGGTCCACCAGCTAAAAACAAGTGGGGTGCATCCAGGCTTCTCATTATTTACATCTAAAAATCACTGCTGAATTTTCCAAGGTATGAATTTCAAGCACTAGCCTCCAGATCTTCTTCTGAATTGCACTAATTTTGACAACAGTGCCCCATGCAAATATTGCAGCTGATCTCCTGAAATACAAAGTAACTTTTTTTTTTTTTAAAATGCAGCAGATGTCACTTCTTTTAGTCTTATAAAAATTATGCTGCAAATGAAAGCTAGTACCTGATCTTTATATTTACACACCTTTGTTAAATCCCGTTTAAGTATTCTGTCCTTAGAATTCCTGTTTGCCCAATATTTGGGGATTTTTTAAAATTTAGTGACCCAAACAAAACAAAGTTTTTCAACTAAAACGTGGTAAAACCAAAATACTACTGCAGTGTCTTTCTGTGTCATTTTCCATTTCCCTTAGCAAGTCCTAACCTCTGCCTTGCTTTTCTGGTTGCTACAGTATGTTCCACATATTTTCAGAGAGCTCTCTCTCAGCTTTTTCAGAGTCACTAAAAATCCACCGAAGTGCAACAACATTGTTCCTTTCAAAGTGCATTACATACTTATCTACTCTAAAAACCTGGGGATAGCACAGGAGCTAGATAAACATTTGGTCTGACTCTGTACAACACTTTTTACCTTGCTGTATGTATCCATGAAATAACCTTTTTTTGGATTTGCCAACTCTTAAAGATTTCTTTCTACTGAAGGTACAAAACTCTCTAGAAATCATAATATGCAAAGACTACAATATAGAATATATGAACTTGGTCTTATGGTCATTTTTCATAGACTTCTTAAAAGCTATCCATGGATTACCAGTATATTAAATGCTTTGGAAGTTTCTTTTAAAATTTACTTGTGTAACCTAACATATTTGCATTATTCCCATTAAATACAACCCAAGTTTTTGCTTGATAGTGCCTTTTCCAGATTTTTAGATATTCCTGCAACTTCCTATCAGAGGATATCCCATTTAATTTTTCCTACAAAGTTGTATGTACAGTAATTTCTAAACACACACACTCCCCCATGTGAAACTTGACCTCTAGAGACATCTTTTGGAACTACTAATCAACCATGTACGATTATGTCATCAAACATCAAACACACTGTGCAGAGTTTGAAGCTTCTTTTATTTCAACTTATGTTTTTGTGCAGAATAATTAAAACTTCAATTGAACGTTGACATGGTTTTCATACATCTACTATTCTAAGGCACACCAACAGAAGAACAGAACGCAGCAGAAAACTTGAAAACCTCAGTACATCAAACAGACTTGGGTGTGCAGAAGCAGAGGAAAAAATGTTTATGGATTCTTAAAGGTAAACCTTTCACAGCATTCGCTGGATTTTTTTTTCTCTAACACTGTGTTGTGGTTTAAGCCCAGCCAGCAACCAAGCACCACACAGCCACTCGCTCACTACCCCCCAGCAGGATGGGGGACAGAATCAGAAGGGTACAAGCGAGAAAAGTCGTGGTTGAGATAAAGACAGTTTAATAGGTAAAGCAAAAGCCACGCACACAAGCAGAGCAAAACAAGGAATTCATGTACTACTTCCCATGGGCAGACAGGTGTTCAGCCATCTCCAGGAAAGCAGGGCTCCATCACAAGTAATCATTATGTGGGAAGACAAACACCATCACTCCAAACGTCCCCCCATTCCTTCTTCTTCCCCCAGCTTTATATGCTGAGCATGACGCCACATGGTGTGGGACATCCCTTTGGTCAGCTGGGGTCAGCTGTGCCGGCTGTGTCCCCTCCCAGCTTCTTGTGCACCCCCAGCCTGCTCGCTGGTGGGGTGGGGTGAGAAGCAGAAAAGGCCTTGACTCTGTGCGAGCCACTGCTCAGCAGTAACGAAAACATCCCTGTGTTATCAACACTGCTTTCAGCACAAATCCAAAACATAGCCCCATACTAGCTACTGTGAAGAACATTAACTCTATCCCAGCCAAAATGAGCACACACTTACTTCCAATTAGCATCTTATATCATAAAAACAGTTTTTTGTCGCCCTGTTCCTGAGACTGCACAAAACACTAGATTATGGTTTCATTTAAGAAGCAAAACATTACATACCAGTAATTGTGTTTGATGTAGTCCTTCCTCTTCTCCCATGCTACTGAGCAAGAGTCCATACAGTAAAATTAGAGCACCACCTACCAAGTACAGGGAAGCAAGATGTCAGCCAAGTACAGGAGATGCAGAACAAAATAGTTTCCCATTTCAGAAACTTACACACCTCTTTTTGTCAATTGCTTTAGTATCTCTATCCTCACGACACTCCTACAAACTTGAATATTACTATTAAACCCAATTAACAGCTAGAGCACAAAGGTGATTTGCCCAACAATACACACAAACCTCTGTGGCAGGAGAAGGACACTGCCAGTTTAAGTCCAAGTCCTAGGCTATTACCCTGACCTTTGGACCAGTCTCTCCCTTATCCCTACACCTTTGCAATTTAAAGAGCAAACAAAATCTTTAGCGATCATCTGAAAAATTTAAACGTGCACAAAAGCATACTGAAAGCAAGTCTTCATTACTCTTATCACAAAACTACACAGTTTCTGCCTTTGTTGTACAAAACCACGTATCTCTGTAGCATCTAGAGAAAAAGAGCAAGCATGCACAAATACAGAACTGAAACATAGCAAAACCAGAGAGAATTTTCCTTTACCAGCGCAGAAACTTTATGACTAAGATTTACTTTGCAAGATGACAATAATGAAAGCAATAACAGTAATTAAAGTGTTTTAATTATAAAGGCTGAGTTTTTAAAACACATTTAAGGCAAAATAAGATTTGACATACCAAATACAGCTACCATACACATGCAACAATTCCTTCAACTACTGAAACCTACAAGAACACTCTGTTTCAACAGGCTACAAAAACTTACATGATCAAATATGAAAACAATTCAGATACTTTTCTAGACATGTCTGTACACTACAAGACAGCTCAGTGTCTGCAACTGAAGTACATACGCAGAAAAAAAAAGTAAAGAGGATGCATATGGACATCTATTTTTGTTTTCTGTTGTGGCTGGCAATAAAAAATTTTTGAAGAGTGCTTGGTCTCAAAATTGGGGGGTGGGACGAGATGGTTGACAAAGGACTTGGGGGGGGGGGGCAGAAAACATGTTTTTCTCAAGAAGCTGCATACTTGTTAAAATACCACAACTTTGACTTGATCCCAAAGTATTCAGACTAAAATGCTGTTACGGCATGGAAACTGTGTTTCAACCACCTCTCAGTTTCATTCTCTTTTACAGACTGAGGTCACAGCAACAGTCAAGACAGGGTCATGAGGCATATGAAATACAACTCCAGTGAGACACCATAATATAAAGTCAATAAAGTATTTCTTATTTCTGTCAAACACTTTATGATGCTATAAAAGTTCACAAGTTTTTGCTCCCCGGGTATGCTTTCAAAACACTCTATAAATGAAGGGCAATCTCTTTGAAAGCCCGTATATGGGAACTATTTGAATCCCCAAATTACTACTAGATATGCTTTTAGTTTAGGGTAGGTGACAAGGGCCTAAACTTTGTTTAAAAAAACCCAACCAAACAAAAACCCACAAAAAAACCCCACAACAACTACAAATAAATATGATGCAGTCAGGAGAACAATAAATGAAAATATTTTCTGGTGCTATTTTGGTTATCTTACAATTTTAGAGGAAGAGGCTTTGGCTGTTTGCCTCCCAAAATAGCAGACTGATACAGCTGATGGGAACGCATGAGATCCCCCCTTTTTTTTTCTTGGTAAAAGAGCCATTATCATGTCCACAAACTAAAAGACATAGGGGATGTTGGCAGACCAGTCTAGTCTGTAATCTATTAACACCTTAAAGAAGGAAAGAGTTTTCCCATGCGATATAATAATGCGTAAGATCTGCTGCATGTGATTCCAGGTTCTTCCCTAGAGCAATAAAGAAACCACGTGGACCTCTGTTAGCTGCCCATCACAGCAATTATTTCTTCAGATTCTATTAACTGGCATACGAGCATGCCTCAGAACCTAATTTCTCAATTAAAAAAAATAATTATTAACTTCATAGCCATTATCAGATGCAATTAAAACCTTGCAAATAAACAACCTTCCCCAGATCTCCCTGCACTATCTCCAACAAGCACCATCTCAAGAGAATACTAAATTTAAAACCTAATTAATTAAAATGTAAGTATTCTTCTCTATTGATTTACATATTAACATACTGAAAAAGGTATTAGCCACTGTGTAAAACCTCTTGGTACATGACAGCAAGATTGCTGCTGCTTGAGAAGCAAGGTGTTCAAAACTCCCCGATAATTTCATGCAGCATCTGTCTCTGTCCAGGAGGCAATATCTAGACTAGCTAGATCATCTCCCTTCTTCCACTGCTACCCAAGTGTGAAGAGCCCAAACTTAGTGTGTTAAACTTAACTGCTGTTTGAAATAGCTGTACAAAAAAAGCTGTCAAGGAGACAACAGCTATCTGTAGCATAATACAATACAAAAAAAGGAGTTTTTGTGAGTTTTGGTGGCTGGTTTTTTTTTTTTTTTTAATAGTAGCACAGGGAGCACAGTATTATACAATTCATTAAAAGTTTTGCTTTTGGGATTGACAAATTCCCAGTCTGCTTTACAAATAAGGTGCTTGAAATTTGATCCAGTTCTTACTAGAGCATCAACTTACACATTCCAGATTCATGCTTAACTCAGATTCATGTAGTAATATGCTGCCAAAAATATACTTAAGTACTTAAGTGAAAAAGTTGCTTCCGAAGAGTTGGGGTAAGAAAGAAAATAGAAGATTTTAACACTGTTCATCTTTAGGAGAAAGCAGAGGTTCACTTAAGCAAGGTACTTTTTCTTTCTGTACAGCCATAAGTATAGTGATGATGGTCAGCATGGGAAGGTAAGACGGTATTGTATCTCCCCCCTCTACCACTCTAATCCCCCCCCCCCCCCCCAAACCCCCCCCCCCCCAATTGTTCTTTATAACAACTGTGGGAAGAAATCAAAGCTATGTGTAATGGTGAGAAGAAGATGGAAAGCCAGGTACTCCTCTTTAGGCATGCTTATGTGTGTGTATGGTGGTGTTGAGTTATAAGGCGGGCTGCAGACACAGCAGAGGGTTGATAGAGCCAGAAACATCCCTAATTCGGTCCGGGACAAAGGCACGTATAAAGCACTGGGGTTTGGCCCAGCCCCGGGCGGAGGGGGCTGGCAGGCGCCTCTCCAGAAGACTCCAGGCTTCGGGCAGGGGCACTAGCTCCCGAGGAAGGGCAAGGCTGGGAAGCGGGGGCAACCGCACGCCCGGGGCAGGGGCGACGGCAGGCGGTGCGAGGAGCAGAAAGCTCATGGAACCGCCGAGGACGGAGGCCGGGG